ACATTACAGTTAGAGAGTCCCACCACTGTGGAAGAAACTCTTTCGAAAATGCAGTTGTTTACTGGTAATAAAAATGACATTAATTACCGCATTTTTGAGATTCCGATAAAATTTAGTAAGATCAGAGTGGGCATCAATTTGCAGTGCTATACTTCCGGTTTGCTCAGCAAGAAACAAACGTTCTTTAAGCCATTTATCGGCATCTTCAGTTTTCCCAAATCTATCGTAAAGCTTAGCCACAGCTAGTTTGTTTTCTATTCTAACATCTGAGCAAGAATTTTATCGTTAAGATTAGTTTAGTAAAATTCATAAACAGAATTTCAACAACTAACACTTCGCTGCTTAAATATGTGTTAGTACTTTATGACGGCGTTATAAAAGTCAATTTCACACTACAGATTAAACTCAAGTAAGATTCTGAGCAGAATCAAAAAAGTACCAATTTTCTCTCCATGGATCAGTTGATCGTAACGTTTCAGTAAAATTAACTCATTTGAAAAATCTTTAACAACGTGATAGATGACTGCCAAATGTCTAAATTCAAATTTTGTAAGAAAATTTCCAAGATAACAAAAGTGAGAAAATAAATAAATACAAATTACAAACAGAACCATAAGATTTTGCTCAAAGGCACAGATATTCTTTTTTGACAAAAGTGATTTAGACAAACCTCAGAGCCTCAGCTTCCAAGTGCTGTGATTTTAATGAAATTGCAATTTTCAGCTGTACCTTCGCCCATTTGCGGGCTTTTCTGTACTGATTAAGGGCTAAGTAACATTCACTTAAAACTCCCAAAAATAGAGCAGCCTAAATGGTGCTATCAAGTAATAATGTTTTGTTTCTTTTAATATTAAATTTACGAAGAGAAATCGTTATGTGCAAGCATTGAAAAAAAGAAGATTCTCTATGAACGGGTAATGGCGGAAGACAAAAAAGACATTTTGAAGCTTTCAAAGGAAAATAAGGTTGTTCAAAAGCGTAATAGGCGACTTCTTGAAACCTTACCGAAACTAAAACGACTGAATCAAATGAGCATCTTTTTATGGCCGAATCTAACAGCACAACTGCAGCACTTGCATTATTCAGCATCAAGTAGCATCTGCATTTAATGATTATTGCAGGAACCTGCTCATCGAACGTTTCTACTCGTTTCAAATATTCATTACAATGTTCCAGTGCAGCTTTAGGGTTTTGCTGAAATAGAACAATCACTTGCGTATAACAAAGTATTGCCCTAAAAATCACAAATAGGAGAGAAAGTGCAGACCTTGACACCAGCCTAAAATCCAACAAGAAATTTTATTCAACGACTACCATAGAAGAATGTTCCATCACTAAAAGAAATAGAAGGAAAAAATAGTTAACAGTTGTGTTTCATGTCGAATTTACCTTAGCCATCTTAATTTTTGCCAACGCCAACAGACTGGATGTGGTATCCGTTTTATAAGTTTCAAATGCAGTTTCAGCTTCATCGTAGTCGCCCAGTTGCATCAATGCATCTATCAATGTTTCGCACAGTGAAGTGACTTCTAACGAGCACTGAAAGTGGAAAGTAGTACCGACTTTCGACTACTGATCAAGGCTGCACCGAATTAAATTAGAAGTTACGTGATAAGACACAATAGGTAAGAAATCATCAGCGAAAATTGGTAATATCTTGAATGTAATTTAAAAAATATAATTTTAGAAATTTCAAAAAAAAATACTTTTTTTCTTATACGAACAGCTTCTTTAATGTGTTGTACGGCGAAAAAAATTTGGCCATTACGGAGAGCTATGTCACCAATTCGTTCATGGGCCATGATTTTTGATCGATCGTTGCCTGCAAAAATAATCATTCCTTTGTTACTCAGATTTTGTCCTTTGACAGAACGCTTTTCTTGTGACTGAGGACTACAAACTGTCCTTAGGCGGCTTTTGATTTACATCTTACATATCAACTTGGTCACGTAGAGTTAGCAGAATGCAAATATAAAACTAACCAAAATGTTCAGTTAGCTGAAACTGGTCGTTCAAACTTTTAGAAGTTTTATCAAACTTATTGGTTGCATAGAAGGCTTCTGAAAGGATGACAGCTGCGTCGCATTTTGCTTCTGAATGACCACAGTCAATCTGCATAGCGGCCTTCAGTATCGTTATCGCTTCCGAAGTTAGATGCTGTTCAAAAAAATAATTTCCGATTATGTTCAAAATTTCTGAAACTAGATGACCGGAACTTGAAGTTTGTGCCGTCTGAAGAGTTTGGTGAAGTTTATCTAAAAAGAACGAAGAACTTACTGAAAGACTAGGCCTGATATATGAAGAATTTGATACAGGGAAATATAAAAAAGAAAATTTCGTGTTTGAATAGATTTGTATTTTACCGCTCAACGACGACATGGACTTGTCCTCATCAATGCAATCATTCAGTGCATTGAGTAAGGCTGAATTTTTGTACTCAATGCTAAGCCCGAGGCAGTATTTCACTACAGCTTCAGAAGTCTTCCCACGATACCGTAAATTGTTGCCTTTTGTTAAATGATCCTAAATTCAAAGAAATTAGGAAGTGTTTTGCAAAACTTTTTTCTAATTATTAGGCAACAAAGAAATGTTTGATTTAGATGAAGAGTTTTAGTTTGGGAACAAAAAAATCAAAATAGAATTGCTGGAAATTGAAGATGTATAATAGCAACATAAGTAAATTTTACAGTTTGCCAAAGTGTATTTGTGCTTTTGCTGTTCTACACAAGTAGAGATTTTAAAGCGTTCTCTACCACTGTAATGAGTAAATTTAGAATAATATATTGAATAGTGTTATTGTTTTTTTATTCTTTTAAATTGAGTAAAGTAATGTAAGTGTAGCATATGGTAAATAAAATATATTATTTAAATTTAGTGTTAAGTTAAACGGTAACAGTGCCTTGGCGAACGAAACATCTGCAAGTGATTCGGGAGTTGCCTTACAAAAGCCTGTTGGGTACCGTCGTTCTTCAGGAGTCATTCAAATATGTCCTTCTAAACCAGAAAAGAGTCTATTTGCAAGTTAATGTTTTGAAAGATTTTGTTGTTATTGCATAAAAAGTACAATTCCACTTTCAGAGAGCAAAAAATTGGTTGTCTATGATCAAAAAATATTGTGGCAATAAAGTCAGTGAGACGATTCAAACTCTTAGAGCGATCAACTAGTTAGTTTATTATGTGGTAGTTTCTGCAAGAAGAGAAATAGCACCTTCATATGTTACAAAGATTAAGATTTATTACAACGAAAAAAAAGTCGTATAAAATAGTTCTGAAAAAAGCACTTAAGAAAAAAGAGAAATTGAGTGAAAAAAAAGTACCTTACTTGAGAGGTAGATGATGAGTTAAAACCGTCCTTGACGAAGACAAAAATTAATGTATTTGGAGGAAGACCGGCCAAATTAAATGTAATTCCAATTTTTGACACTAATCAATCGATTCAAAAAAAAAAATTATTTTCCTACATCGAACAACTTTTTAGGATAGGCGCAGATACTGAAGACAATTTTGAATCTCGCAAACGTGCAAAATAGAACTACAGACAACCATAAATAACCATTATCCGTTCCGATTTTCTAAACAGACAACCTTTATTACAAAATTTATAATTTTATATTTTGTGACACTTTAAAACATAAGTTTTTGTTCTTTTTTGACCGTTTTTATTGTTCTTTAAATATTCTTCATTTCTTGCAAACTAATTCTTTTAGTAGAAGGCTGAATTTGTTTATCGTTCAAAACTATTCGCTAATTGATGAAAAAGACTGATAAATTTCCTTCTGTTTACCGATCAGAATCTTGTGCTTCTGCTGCTTCTGCTCCTGCTATCGGTGTTATAAGATTTGTTTACGTTTATTTTTCTCACGACAACGACTACAGTTTTGACATTACTATATAAAAGTTGAACATAGGAAGTAGAGGCTGTTCAATAACTATAATAACCAAATTTTTTTACGGTAAAAAAAGAGAAGAATGTAATGGACGTAAAAGAAAGTGATATCAAATTTGCTACTCTTTTTTTTTCCCAACTTTAAACTACTGATAGATCTGATTGTGTTTTCGAAATTTTTTGACTGGACGGGAAAACTGTAACTGCTATGCCAATAAATAAAGCTATAAAATTCAATTTAGATATTTTTCTTTTTTTTTAAGCTTTTTTATGACGGTTTTACGTATCAAAAGCACACAACTTACTGTTCATATTCTCAATATTTTAAAAA